ACCTCTGCACTCCAGTCTGGGTGACAGAGTGAGACTACAACTCAAAAAAAACAACTAAAAATGCAGCCGGGCTCAGTGGCTCAGTCTGTAATTGTGCTCTTTGGGAGGCTGAGGTGAGTGGATTGCCTGAACCCGTGGGTTCAAGACCCGCCTGGGCAACTTGGCGAGAACTCATCTCTACAATAAATCAAAAAATCAGCTGGGCGTGGTAGTGCGTGCCTGTAATTCCAGCTACTTGGAAGTCTGGGGCGGAAGGATTACCAGAGCCCAGCAGGTTGAGGCTGCAGTGGCTGGGAGCGGCCACTGCACTCCAGTCTGGGGCGACAGAGTGAGATTCCAACTCAAAAAAAAAAAAGAAAAGAAAAAAACCCCGAAAAACTAAAAATGCAAAACCAGAAAGATCCTGTCACATACATCAGTGTCCGTGCATTGTGAATATACAGGCTGGAGTAGTAAACCCAACGTCCTGCACCACGTGCCAGCTGAGAAGCCACTTCAGGTCCACACATGCCGCACGGGCTCAGCATCCGGCTGCTGCTCCCCTGCCTCTGCTGGGCGTGCACTCTGTGTGGCACACATGCAGTCTCAGTTGCCTCTCATCTTCCCATAGAACCACGCCAAGTATTTACTCATTCCTCCCAAGATTTATGCCTGTGTGCAGCAGTTTTTAATTTTTACTGCCATATAGTGTCACGTTTTGTAATCCACCATTTATTCTACCACTGAGTGCAAATGGTCTTTTGCACTTTTTGACTTTTGCAAAACAACACTGCAGTGAACGCTCTTGTTCACGTGATTCTAAGGTAACGTGCCTTGGATGGACCTGCGGGTTGTAAGATGTGTGCACCTTCAACTCATTAGTCAATGTTAAACTGTTTCCAACGTGGCTTGGACGGATTTCTTCTTCCACCAGTAATGGAAGAGAGTTCCTACTTCTCTACCTCCTTGCTGACACCTACTTGACACATTTTCATTCTAATGCTTCTGCCATGTGATGTAAGAACAACCAATGGGTGATGTTCATTTACAATGCACCCTTCTGGGGGCTCTGTGTGCCTGATTGTATTTTTTTTTTTTTGAGTCGGAGTCTCGCTCTGTCGCCCAGAGCGATATCCCAGAGCGATATCCGCCAGCTCTGAGGAAGAGACCTAGTACCTGACATGACTGGTCCAGCCCAGCTTCTCCCCAGCAGCCCTGCCCTGACAGTTTCCATATTTGGCAGGTGGGGATGTCACATCCCGGCCACCGCAGCCTGGGCTCTGGCGATCCTTCCGCCTCGGCCTTCCAAGTAGCTGGAACTACAGGCGTGCGCTACCACGCCCCGCTAATTTTTGATTTATTGTAGAGATGAGGTCTCGCCAAGTTGCCTGGGTGGGTCTCGAACCCGCGGGCTCAAGCAATCCACTCACCTCGGCCTCCCAAAGCATGGGAGCCTGATTGAATTTTACCTCACAGCAGCCCCATCTATTATGAGCGAGTTACTTAGGAGCAGAGCAGGACCCCTGCCCCAGAGCCCTCCCTTCTGCTGGGGCCCGGTGGTTGTTTCATTGCTTCATTCCCCCAACCTGAGTACCACCTTGGACTCCTTCCTCCTCAGGCTGCTACTCCCTGTCAGTTCGACTGAGCCGCCCCGCATCCTGGGACCGGATCAAACACTACAGGATCCAGTGCCTGGACAACGGCTGGCTGTACATCTCACCACGCCTCACCTTCCCCTCGCTCCAGGCCCTGGTGGATCATTACTCCGGTATGGCCTTTTCCTGCCTCAGGGGTGGGGGTGGCTCTTGGGGGACAGACAGTCGTGCTTAGACATTTTATCTACTAGAGAAGATCCACACAGAAGGGTGGGCCTCTTCTACACTCACGCCACTCCTTGTGCCAAGAAATGCAGAGTGGGGCCCATCTCCATCCCTTGCTCTGACCTCCCATATGAGCTCGGTCAGTGTCTGGCCACCACTCTGGATCTGATCCTCTCCCCGAGAGCCAGGCCCTGTGCTGTCGCTGTATGGAACTCGCTTCTGAGCGAGTCTTCTGAGCGTTTCCTGGCACCAGTTCTTTATCAGGCACTGGACGATGCAGTCACCAGGCACTGTCAGGTGTGGGAAGACCACTCCTGGGAAAACCCATCAGGGGCTTTCTGCAGGACTACTTCATGCAAGAGTAGATACTGGCAGCTACACGCAGAGCTGAGGACTCCTTAGCGTTTTTCCCAAAGGATTTCCTGACCAGAAACCAGAGCTCAGAGAGGCCCATGAGCTTACCCCAAACCTCAGTGGATCGAGTCTCCCAAAACAGTCCAGAATGACTTGGATGCATTTTGGCTCCCAGGAAACCACAGCTTGGGGTCATGTCCCTGGCCATGTGGTGACATCCCCACCTGCCAAATATGGAAACTGTCAGGGCAGGGGCTGCTGGGGAGAAGCAGGGCTGGACCAGTCACGTCAGGGACTAGGTCTCTTCCTCAGAGCTGGCGGATGACATCTGCTGCCTCCTCAAGGAGCCCTGTGTCCTGCAGAGGGCTGGCCCCCTCCCGGGCAAGGACATACCCCTACCTGTGACGGTGCAGAGGACACCACTCAACTGGAAAGAACTGGACAGGTAAGGGGACTCTGGAAACATGAAGGGGGAACAAGGAGCTAGAAGGACCCATTCAGGATGCGGGCGGCACACCTCACCAACAAGGGTACCTGCATAATGAACATTTGTACACCTAACCCTGAATTGTATCCTACATCTTTAAAATAAGGCAAACAATTTGATTTTTTTTTTTTTAAAGAACCCATCCCCAGGAATCCACAACCCAGAGCGGGACACCTGGGAGCCAGAGAGCACAGGCTGAACTCTGGAGCCCACCAAGGCCCAACATAGGGCAGGGGTTGAATGCAGGTGTTAATCTGATAGGTAACAGGGGAGCCCCTGTGAGTTCTTTAGCAGGAGTGACCAGGAGATAGGTCTTGAGAACAGTGCACTCTGTGGCGACACAGGAAGAAGAGGCTCCTTGACCTGGTTCTTCTGTCCTGTCCACAGCTCCCTCCTGTTTTCAGAAGCACCTGCCACAGGGGCGGCGTCTCTCCTCAGTGAGGGTCTCCGGGAGTCCCTCAGCTCCTACATCAGCCTGACTGAGGAGAACATCACTTTGGACGGTGCCAAGGCCCAAAGGAGAGGCCGAAAGGGAAAGCAAGGTGGCAGCACCCAGAACCCCAACTTAGCTCAACCTGACTGAATACCCAAAGGCAAGGCGTACACTCAAGGGGAGGGCCGGGATGCACATGCACCCCGGGGCCCATCTGTACCCTCTGCTCCCGTCTCTTTTTGAAGTCACTTATCTCTTCCCAGCACCAGGACCACACCTGCAACCTCTGTAGTCCAAGCGCTGAGCAGCTGAGAGGTCAGGGGTCCGAAAACAGGGCCCTGCCTGCTGAGTCCTATTCTACATTCCCACTGTTAACCAGCCCCTCTCACAAGGTAGAAACTACCCCTAGCAGAATATGGTGGGAGGCCAGGCGTGGTGGTTCACACCTGTAATCTCAGCACTTTGGGAGGTGGAGACGAGAGGATTATCCACAATAAATCAAAAAATCAGCCAGACATGGTGGTGCATGCCTGTGGTTCCAACTAATTGGAAGACTGAGGCTGAAGGAACGCCTGTGCCCAGCATGTTGAGGCTGTAGTAGCCATGAGCGTGCACTGCACTCCAGCCTGGACAAAACAGTGAGACTCCAACTCAAAAAATATATATATATGGTGGGAGCCGCTGCAGTTGCCATAGGCCAAGTGGAAGCGTATGTCTTCATCTGCAGCCTAGGCCATGGTGCTGCAGCTCTCCTGGGAGCAGGGGATCACTCTGCACAGGAGCACCGAGATTGTGGCCAAGTTCTTCTCATTTGGCAGCAACAGCATTTTATATCAGCACGGCATATATCTATCCGAAACCTTTACTCAAGTGCTGAAATGTGGACTCACCTTGCTTCTATCTACTGACTTGAGCTCAAAAAAATACCTAAATAATGTGGTGGAGCAACTAAAAGGTTGTTTATACGAGTATTCAGTGAGGTCCTTGAAGAATGGTAATTTGATATGGTGACAAGACTGCAAAAGATGACAGTATACCCAGAGAAAATCTCAGAAAGTTATTCAGAATGAAATCTGTTCAGTGATCAGACAGAGATCACAGCTACAGTGCCATTTTTGCCACCGTTGGAAGTTTCTTGTTCATTTGATTTGCTGATATATACAAAGATTTAGCTGTACCTGAAAAATGGGAAGAGTCGGAAACACAGTTCACACCAATTCTGAAGAGGTCTGTCTTTGTTCATTTGCTACGACAATCCACAAAGTGAATAGCATGGTGGCCTATAAAATTCCTGTCAATGACTGAAGATGAAATGAGGAAAATAATGAAAATTTCCACATGTGGTTTTCCTGACACCAAGTCAACTATAGTTGATATGTTGTTTTGTTTTTTTGAGTTGGAGTCTCACTCTGTCGCCCAGACTAGAGTGCAGTGGCCGCTCCCGGCCACCACAGCCTCGACCTGCTGGGCTCCAGTGATCCTTCCGTCTCATCCTTCCAAGTAGCTGGAACTACAGGCGCGCGCTACCACGCCTGGCTAATATTTTGATTTATTGTAGAGATGAGTTCTCACCAAGTTGCCCAGGCCGGTCACGAACCCGCGGGCTCAGGCAATCCACTCACCTCAGCCTCCCAAAGCGCAGGATTACAGGCTGAGCCACCGAGCCCAGCTAGTTGATATGTTTTATTTCACTGGTTAATTTTTAGATGGGGAAAACCAACACTGTACTGAACTGTGTGTAATGTTACATTTTTTGGTACCTGTTTGATTTATGATACAGTTGGTATAGTGAATGTATTGCACAATTTTCAAGAGGAACCAGCAGATTTTTGTCAGCATTGTAATGTTAATTCCTTTGAAGGTGGTAACTATAGGTGGGAAAAGTTTTACTATAAAGCTAAATGCTTATGTAGGTCAGACATTTTGGCCAAGTAGCTTTACTTAGTACAGGTAGGGAGATATTTAAATATAAAATACAGCAAAACAATGTCTGAATATTGAAAATCTTTGCTTAGATCCTTAAAGTAACAAGTGATCCATAAGCAATGAAAAATGTTGCTCTATTAAGTCCTTTTGTCACTGTATAGTTTCCATATTGAATAAATTTCCAATTACTTGACTTTAATTTAAATAACTTGAACCCATGAAGCAATGGATATTTCTATTGTTAATTTCCTGCAGAACTCTTGGGAAAAGGGAGCTTAAATAAAAAGCATTTATCTCTCACGTTTTTGAGTCAGAAATTTAAAAGCAGCTTAGCTGTATGGTTCTGGCTGAGGGTCAAGTCATATTGTTGGCTGGGTTACTGTCATCTGAAAACTTTAATGGAGCTGTAGGATCCACTTCCATGACGGTTCGGTTACACAGCTGCTGGCAGAAGGCTTCAATTCCTCGATGAACTCTAAGAGAACTCTTAAAAATTATTCTTGTTTTACAAAATCAAGCTTTAAGTGAAAATGAGGAAACAAAGTTAAATCTGTATGTTTTAAATTAATTTTTGTTAAAATGTTAAAAAAATAAAAAGATAGGGGCAACCTCTTCAGGTGCCCTCCTGCTGTGGGAGATTTTGTGTCCTCAATAAATCCTGCTCACCTAAAAAAATAAAAATACTTTTGAGAAAATTCACAAACCTCACTCAGAACACCACCACATCTCCTTAGAAGGTGGCACTGTGGCCTAGCAGAGAAAGGCAAGCAGAGGGCACAACAGGTGGTGCAACTCCCGCCTGACCCCAGAACAGAGAGAAGGACTTCACAATCCTGGTCCCCAAACATCCTTCACTGAACTCCTGCTCTGAAGTCTCTCACTTCATGGCTCTTCACTTGAACTAGGCCAAGCTTTCCCTGCCATACCAGCCTTGCCATCATGTGGCCAAATACAAAGTGACACCTCCTGAGCCTGGCACACTGCACAGAGGCCAGTCCCCTCTCAGTGCTATGCTTGGCAGGGACATCAGAAGGCAGTAAGCCACACTGCCAAGACCAAGGCCACAGTCCATGTCAATTCCAGCACTTGATTTCACTGCTGCCATAAAGAGAAAAAGGTCTGGCTGAGAAGGCAGAGAAGGGACAGGGTGGGAGGCACCGCCTTTGGAACTCTTACTGGGTTCCCAAGCTACAGGTGGGGTGGGAAAGGCTTTATCACGTATCAGCAACAGGTTCTCAATTAAAGATTTGATTTATTCAAGTGTCTGAAAACATTCTACAATGGGAACTGTTAGTAGATGTTGCCTGTACTGTGCTATGGACCACGCACATACAGCCATACTGTTTTAGAAGGCTTGAAATGCCACTGATTGTTTAAAAACCGTACACCTGATGGAGACCTGAGGAAGACAATTTAATGTTTCATCCGAATCCAGAGGCGCATCAAATTAAATGGCAGCTCCAATCGGCCAACAGCTGTTACATGATGGTATCCAGTAAGTGGTTGGTGATGGACAAATTCAGAACTGCTTCCCTCAAAGGTGTATGGCTCTTTTAAAAGTTTCAGGTCACAACCCTTGCAGAAAACGCTGACGCCCAACACACCGATTCATGGTCCAGGAAGCACGGACTTTTCAGGTTCCAAGGGGTTGAGGTGCCCCAACAATCACGCTTCTGTGCTGGAATTCAGAAGGTCCTGGGACTGGAGGAACAGGCAGGAGCTGAATGCTGTCAGTCGTAGTGGATGGCAGTGTAGAAGATGATCCAAATGACCTAGTGAGGGCACAAGCAATGGTCACAGGTTGCCTGGCCACCAGGCCCCGACTCAACAAAACAAAAATGCCAGATTAAAATGTGTCCACAGGGAGCTCCCTCAGGGCTTTCCACTGCACAATCTGCTTGGGGCCTAAAGCATTTCACCCCAAGACCCAGCTGCTTCTCACAGCACACACTGACCACCTGTGCTCCCAAAGGGACCCTGACAAGCCCCTCTCCTACCAATAGCAACCCCAGCTCCAGGGAGCAGAAGGATAAATGTGGATGATACAAGTAAAGCACACTGTACTGTTGTGGGGTCAGGACTATTGACATGAAAAGTGGAGAGACCTCCACGCCTTGTCAGCTCCATATGAGAGCAGAGATTCTCAAACCTGGCTACCCACTGCTATCTTCTGGGAGCTTTAGGATATACAGACAGAGATGCCCCAACACCTCCTCTCTGATGATTCTGATTGTACTGGTTTGGGTTAGGGTCTAGACACACAGGGTTATAAGTATGCTTTTTATCTTAAAGCCTTTGAAATATAATTTGCATTCCATAAAGTGTATCCTTTGTAAACAGTGTACAACTCAGAGGTTTTGTGTATATCCACAGAGTTGTGCAAGCATCACATTAACTGATTCCAAAACATTATTCCAAATAGAAAGGCTGTTCCCTTTATCAGTTACTTCTCATCCCCCTTTCTCCCAGTCTCTAGCAACCATCAAATCTACTGTTTGTCTCTACAGATTTGCCTACTACGGACATTTCACATATGGTTTCATATGACAGGTGATCTTTTGAGCCTCGATTATTACATGTAGCATGTTTTCAAGGTTCATCCATGTTGTACCATGCATCAATACTTCATTACTTTTTGTGCCAAATAACATTCTGTTGAATGAATATACAGTATTTTACTTATCCACTCACTGGGAGTTGGCCATTCGGGTTGTTTGTACTATTTAGCTATTAAGAATAATGCTACAAATATATTTTTTAATGTTTTCCCGGTTTCTAATATGAAGCCAGGGTTGGAAGCTGACAATGGGCCCTGGAATTACACATTACAGAGAGACTATACAGAATATCGCACCATATCTTTTGGGACAACATGGCTCAAGAGATGCCATACTCTCTGGCTTCAGTCTAAAAAAATGGCACCCTTGTGATCCCAGCACTTTGGGAGGCTGAAGTGAAGGGATTGCCTGAGCCCATGGGCTTGAGAACAGTCTGGGCAACTTGACGAGACCTCATCTCTACAAGAAATCAAAAAGTTAGCCAGGTGTAAGTAGCACGGGCCTATAGTTTCAGCTACTTGGAAAGCTGAGGCAGAAGGATTGCCTGAGCCCAGCAGGTTGACACTGGGGTAGCCGTGAGTGTGCCACTGCACTCAGCCTGGGCTATGGAATGAGACTCCAACTCAAAAAAAAAACAAAAGGTTGGGTACGGTGGCTCAGCCTATAATCCAGACACTTTGGGAGGCCAAGGTGAGAGAATTGCCTGAGCCTGGGGGTTCGAGACCAGCCTGGACAACTTGGTGAGATCTCATCTCTACAATAAACCACAAAAAAGGTTAGTTGGACATGGTGGCATGCATCTGTAGTTTCAGTTACTTGGAAGGCTGAGGCAGGAGGATAGCCTAAGCCCAGCAGGTCGAGGCAGCGGTGGCCATGAGTGTGCCACTGCACACCAGCCTGGGCGAGAGAGTAAGACTCCAACTCAAAAAAACAAACAAACAAACCCCCCCAAAAAACAAACAAACAAACAAACAAAAAAACGGGCCAGGTGCAGTGGCTCAAGTCTGTACTGTAATCCCAGCACTTTGGGAGGCCGAGGCAAGAGGAAGAGGATTGCCTGAGCCTAGGGGTTCGAGACCAGTCTGGGCTACTTGGTGAAACCCTGTCTCTACAATAAACCAAAAAATTAGTCAGGCGTGGTAGCGAGCACCTGTAGTTCCAGCTACTTGGAAGGCTGAAGTGGAATGATCGCCAGAGCCCAGCAGGTCACTGGGGTGGCCGTGAGTGTGCCACTGCATTCCAGCCTGGGCGATGGAGTAAGACTCCAACTCAAAACAAGAAACAAACAAAAAAACACATGGCACCTCAATTACATAGCGTACCTCAATCAATGAGTCTCCTCGAGTGACTGACACCTCCTGAAATGAGCAGTACCTGCTGTAATAACTACCAGTTACACATACCATGAACAAGGCAAAAGATGTCATAAACCCTTCTTTTGTGAGCTCCCACGTGCCACCATATTCTTCCTCATCGATCTGTAGGTAGTTGCTGAAGTAGAGGTACAGGACTCCTGCATTGATCAGGCAGAATCTGGAGTGGTGGATGACAAGCATCAAACACAAAACGTAAGTTTAGAAGATGCAGAGCTCACACCTCCACCATTTGGTTCTAGTAGGATGCTCACTGTGCCCTATACTTAACTAGGCGTGTGTCTCCCCCCACCTCAGGCTAGGGTGACCCTGAGAAAAACAAGGTTGGGCTCACAAAGACTTGAACTCACATGCAAGGTTCTTTTTCCCAAATGTGAGTTTTGTCCAGATAGATAGAGGCTTTGAGACCTTGTGCAAGTCTCCTGCCTTGGGTCTCAGTGCCCTGGTCTGTAAAATGGGGAGGCTGAAGAGCATTACATGGACAAGTGAATAATACACAAACACCTAGGTCCTCAATGGAGCTGTCCCTCTGGCTGAACTAAAGTTAGAGGAGCAACTCTCTTCAACCACCCAGAGAAAGCGAAAACTAAAACAATTTAAAAGTATATAGCAGTTCTCCAAACCTTCTGACAGTAAGACAGCATGGTGGCTGAGCATCCCAAACAGGACCAATACTTGACACAGGCCTCCGGGAAGCTCAGCGCGGGGTGGCCAAAGGACAAGCACACATGACGTTACTTCCATGGCCTGCTTGAGCAGGCAACAGCACACATCCTCTGCAGAACCCCCAGTGGGAGACCATTTCTGGATGTCTACCATCTGCTACTGCCACTACTATCTGCTCGATGCAGAGGTGAGTATGACAGCTCCTGTCCTCAGCTCAACAGCAGTTAGGGGGCTGAGAACAGCAGTGAAAGTGGAACTGAAGCCACAAGTTCATGTGTACCTCCAGGAAGGTCTCTGATCCCTGTAAGTATTCAGCTGATGCAAGACTTGGAAGGCAGTGAGCAGGAATATACCATCTCACTTTCCTGATCTCACTTTCAGAGTGATCAAGACTTTGTGATCTTTCCAGTCACTGCATCTCATCCAGTGGAGGACCATGTCTCTATGGTCATGTTCCTTCTGAATGCTGAGGTGGAAAATGCCAAGTGAATTGATTCCCTCCAGTGGGTGAAGTGAGGGTTATGCAGGGGAACGCAGTACAGTGGTGTGGAGTATAAACAGGCACCCCAGGGGCTGGGTACAGTGACTCACAACTGTAATCCTAGCACTCTGGGAGGCGAGGCAGGAGAACTGCTTGCAGTCAGGAGTTTGAAACCATCCTGGGCAATATAGTGAAACTCTGTCTCTACAAAAAAAAAATTTCTTTTTTTTGAGTTGGAGTCTCACTCTGTCGCCCAGGGTAGTGTAGTGGCACGCTCATGGCCACTGCAGCCTCGACCTACTGGGCTCAGGCTATCTTTCCACTTCCCAGTAGCTGGGACTACAGGGGTGTACTACCACACCCGGCTAATTTTTTGATTTATTGTAGAGATGAGGTCTTGCCAAGTTGGCCAGGCAGGTCTTGAACCCGCAGCTCTAGCAATCCTCTCATGTCATCCTCCCAAAGAGCTGGGATTATAGAGGCAAGCCACTGCATCTGGCCTTTTTTTATTTTTCGAGTAGGAGTCTCACTCTATCACCCAGGCTGGAGTGCAATGGCACACTCTATGGCTACCGCAGCCTTGACCTGCTAGGCTTAGGCAATCCTTCTGCCTCTGTCTTCCAAATAGCTGGAATCACAGGTGCCTACCACCACGCCCAGTTAATTTTTTGGTTTATTATAGAGACAAGGTCTCGTCAAGTTGCTCAGGCTGGTCTTGAATCAGGCAATCCTCTCACCTCTGCCTCCCAAAGTGCTGGGATTATAGACATAAGCCACCATGCCCAGCTAAAAATATTTTTAAAATAAAATAAAACTAGCCAGTGTGGTGATGCATGCCTGCTGTCCCAGTTACTCCAGAGATCACATGAGCCCAGATACTCCAGCCTGGGTGACAGAGAACCCTGCCTTAAAATAATAAATAAAAATCAGCGTGTGATGGGTTGGGGGAGGCCCTGAGGCTGTCTGAGCAAGGTGGGGCTGGGGTATGGTGTGACGCTTCAGAAGTCTAGCTTCCTAGTCAGGACACGGAAACAGTGTGAGAACATGGACCAGGTAAACGGCCAAATGAGAGGTAGGCAAGAAGTTCCAAAGGCTTCAAGCCTAAGGGCCTGGGAATACAGTGGCTGCAGGAGCAGGAGCAGGAGTCAGGAAGAACCAAGTGCCGTCCTTAGCTCAGCCATGTTAAGGCCACATTCTTGTCTTTTTCCAGAAATGCTGGGATCTAGCCAAGCCTGGCCCCCTCCCTCTGACAAGTTTTACTTTGGCCAGGCTGACACAGTGGCTCAAGATGGAGACTACTGAGGGGGAGCTAGAAACGTCACCCCAAGGCCCAGATAAGCAATGACTGGCAACTCAGGAGTGGGGATGACAGGGAGAAAGAGGCTGACAGAAGCCTGGCCTTCCAGAGGTTCCAATAAATGGAGTGTGAAGTCACACACCCAAACTTGAAATCCCATGTTTGGTGGTCAAAGGGGAAGGGTCAGGAAAGGACTTGAAGGGTTCAGGCTGAGCTTTAAGGACTGGCATAATTTCCATTTTGTAAATGAGCAAGAAAGCCACACAGCAAACAAAGAAATGAACGTGCTGGACTAGGAATGGGAGAACAGGAAAAGACAGATTCTGCAGAGTTTATTGCAGCATTGTTCACAATAGCAAGAACCTGGAAGCAACCATGCTGCCCATCAAAAGAGGACTGGATTAAAAAAATGTGGTACAAACCGGACTTGGTGGCTCAGCCTGTAATCCCGCGCCTTTGGGAGGCTGAGGTGAGTGGATTGACTGAACCTGCGGGGTCGAGACCCGCCTGGGCAACGAAACCTCATCTCTACAATAAATCAAAAAGTCAGCCGGGCGTGGTAGCACATGCCTGTAGTTCCGGCTACTTGGAAGGCTGAGGCGGAAG